CCCTCAGATGAGACTGAGACACACCGCCACGCTCTAGAATGCCAGCCAATTAGCCACGATGATTGACACGTCAAATGGATAGAAGCAGAAGTATGCATTGGGTTGCAGACGTTCCCTGAGCGGACAGCTCTCATTACTAGTGTATCCGCAACTTCATTTCAACCCATGGTGCGACACTTCACATCGGATTTCCCAACTGTTCACCCACTGACCTCTATGCTTTCACAGTAATCTTCATTGCGCCAAGCCTTCTCTTAATTACTTCTCTTTGCTTATCACTCAAGCCCATGTCATGTCAGATTGTTGGATTTGCTCCTGACTTAGGCCCCACAAATGCACCCGGTTAGTCTGTTTTATTTAGTAGTGGTTTTAACGTTCCCCTTGAACATCCCAATCAATGCCTTCATCTGACCAGACTACTCACCTGCTATGCGCCAATATTCGCTGATGAAAGAAGAACCATTCGTTTGCATCCAGCTCGTTTGTTTCCGAGAGACAGGTAGAATAAGCTAATCTACCTCCGGCAGAGGAAGCATTGCTCTCGCGATGTTACCTGAGGAACCGACGTATTCAAATCGAATGGAAGGATCTGGGTGACTCCATGCACGAACAGTGGCAGAAATGTTTTGACCCGGTTGTAGATTGGTGAGGATACATGGTTGTTCGTGCTCGCTTGCGATTCTCGGCATCCACCATCCATCGAGACTCCAATGATGGTGTAGCCAGTGATGCGAGCGTAGAATTGAGTTGACGGATCCGATGTCATCTTCGCCGTATGCGAGTCGATGGCAGTCAGTTCCACATTTTGGGGAGCACTAACACCTACTCAGCACACACAGAATGCGCATATGTGTCATTATTATTAGGAGATGGGTGAATTCCCATCTATTCCTAAATGCATGAAGGAGGATGGATGTGGAGGTGTCAAGCATCAGGGTTGAATGAACGAAAATTTCACCACCTTTGCATAAAAATAAAGCAGGAGCAATGAGAAGGGTGACATACCTGGATCCATTGGCTTAAATTTTATTGGATTTCCAACGGCACGATATTATTAGGCGAAGTGTATCCCACCACCTTGCCTGCAATTATTGTTGGCACCTTTGGCACGTCTGAATAGTAATTTTAGAATATAGCAGTAAGGATGGCCAGTGATTGCCAGGGATTTTGTAATATGGAGAGGTCCTTCTTCATTACGACCTCGAGTTTGGACAATTTCACTTCGGCTCTCTCAACATCGCCTATGGATACAACCATATTACGACCCTCGAAGTAAGTTACCGCAAACGTTGGTTCTTCAAACACCTATAGCAGCATGAATGTATAAGGTGTTGAGACAAATGTGAAAATGACGTGTGTTTCTTTCATCGATATAGCTAAGTGTTGAGTTGTGGCCAACAGGGAGAAGAGAACATCGTGTTGCTGGGTTGAGTAGAGGACGATAAAGTGGACGCAATATAGTCTGCGTTTCGGTGCAAATAAGGAGGCTTTCCAGTTGCTCTCAGTTGACACACTCACTGCAGCTCTATTTTGCACGCATATGAAACAAGCACGCGTCAATGCTTTCAGAGTCCTTCTACATAACTTGCTCAATTCCATTCAAGTGGCAATGAAATAGACATATTGGAATGCAAACTCATTGATGCGAGAAACTACTTACTACAGTGTAGGCGTGAGATGAAATGCACCCTACAAGACAGCTCGTCGGAGGCGAAGGGAGGGGAGCATCACGTCAAATATGGAGGCGGAGCATGAGCTTAATCAGCCGTGACAAGTTGGTGCGATGTGATGTGGTGTGACGAGAAGCGAGAGAGAGAAGTTAAATCACACCTACCAATTTCTGACTAAGCACATGCCAATAAACATTTGCATCCCTTGTCAGATGTACCAATCATCCAAATGCCCTCATTTACTGACAAGAGTTTAGCATTTAAAGGCAGGTATCTTACTGCCTGTTAGGGCAAACTGGCCATACATGACGGAAGATGCCAGCAGGAGAAGGTGGAGTTGGAGAGACATCTTTGAGGAAGAAGTGAGTTGCCTTCGCAAGCTGCCCATGGTGTGCTTGTATGAACGCTGTGAATGCATGACAGCCTATGAAATGGACTCGTCTTGACCTTCGAACCACACTGTGCATTCGTGCACACTGCGATTACACGTATTATTGAGTCGTTTGACCCCCTGAGCTGGCCACACTGGTAGCGGGATAGTCCCTGTGAGGCGTGGGTGGGTGTGAACTCCAGAGAGTAGGCAGTAGGCACTCTTGCAAATGCCCGCGGATAGGCTCCAATCTACACCAGACAGAACACTCAACCAGCCCCACTATCCATCACTCCACCACTTGCATGCGTTGATCCACCTGCTATGAAGCATTTGCCCACTAGTCGTCTAGTCAAGTGGTCCATCGAAGCACGACCAGACAGCAGTGCGTGTAACACTTGGTGACACGAGTTATGACACGCTCCACCTCTCATCACTGCACGCTTATACAGTGTGATGCACAGGCAACATTACAAGAACTCCACACAGCATGATCAGTGCAACTGCACATGGCCATCCTTTCTGCATATCCTGTCAAATTAATGTATACTCCTGGGCAACAATGCACTGAATCGTGTTTCACATACTTCTTATGCGGCAAGCAATTGTGTTTGCGAATGTTGCTTTCAATATGCGAAGTAATTTACACCACAAATTATGTGAATCGCACCATCTCTAGTCCCCTATCATTCGTAACCTGCTGTACCTCTCTGCGTAAATAATGTGGATCCCATCGGCCATCAGACCTGATAAGTTAGACAATGAGTAGATCAGGCTTTGGGGTAATATGCCTCTCATTTCGAGCTTAGGTTTGAGACTGGGACCAAGCCGAGCTTCTATCTCCTGACCACTATTGCCTTCAGATGTTGCAAGGCAGAATGACACTGTAATTAAGGAATCGGAGATGCATTTAACGAATTACAGCTGCAGGTTTTCTTAGTCCATCCTGTGTCGGGACGGACCGGAAGGAGTCGACGGAAAGCTACCACAGATCCGAGTTGTGAACCTCGTCAGCAGAATGCCAGCGGAAATTGTCGGTCAAATAATGCTAGTAGGTTAATGTAAACAAGTGGATTCGTTGCAGCTTCATTTTGCCGAATGTCCACATGTACGCAGCTTTACATATACAAATATACACATGTGTATAATATTCTCAAAATAAATCACTACATAGCATCGGCAATGTTTGGAAAATGTCTACTGTGCCATCAACAGGCGCCGAAATGCTTGACTTCTACCAAAGATGTTCGTCAGAGAAAGTAAAACACAAATCATGACGCTTGGTGCCAAAATGCCGTTGCACTTATTTACTCGCCACCATTTCACCCTCATTCCAACCGACAAGCCCACAGGCATGTCAACACATTCAATCACTTACTGCTGAGGGCATGTGGGCGAATGGGGCAATCGTCAATATCTTATCAAGGTGTCTACTCACATATCAGACTATTCCGAAGAACTTGTACAAAATGGCCAGTTGGTGGCAGAAGCGGCACTACCACTCACTCTCTCTCTCTCTCTGAATCAAGCTATTAGCACTAACTCCTCCTTTTGTCTCCTGTACTACACAGCACTGAAGTTGTTGACACTTACCTTATTATCAAAATGGCATTTGCATCACTACTTTCCATGCTTGAATTGTTGGCCCTAGTCCATCACATTACTTTGGCCTCAGGTTATGCAGTCCATGTAGCTACCATCATGCACTGCTGAAATTACTACTCACAGCCAAGAAGTAACGTCTGAACGACATCACGCCATGCTGCACTTGGGGTTAGTAGAGCACTATGAAAGTATATCCATAAATCACTGAAATACTAGCGCTACTAAGTTTTCTGGTCAGATGAGTGCAGATGAACCAAATGAGTGAGGCTTTGCTCGGCACTGTCGTCAATCATAGTACTTGTTTTCGACTAATTTTATTTGAATAAGAATCCTTCCTGATAGGAGTTTCGATTAAGATCAATGCCCACGCGTTAAATGACATTGGCGTTGATTCCTAAAGGGAGAGTAAAATTAGCCTCAAAAACCTTAGTAGTGTGATGTGGAATTCCTAAGTTACGCAGTCTGCATTTATGCGTTGGGAGGCGATTTCGTATTTTCTCAACTGTCAGTAAATTCATTCGCTTTAAGTCCACATCAAGTGTGTGTGGAGACTGTCAAATTTCCCTTCCTGATTCCATCTGCCATCACCATCTTGGCATTTACCTCATGAAGGTGTTCCTGCTCTTGCAACCACTTTAATAGAAGTAAAGCATTTACCAAATAAAAAATTCCGTGCTCTATTACCAAGTCATCACTGGGGTCTAGGAGGTTGTCCCACTTCCAATGCACATTGTTCATTGGTTTTTACTGCATGGCGAGACGTCTGGTCTTCTGGCTTTCAGTCCACTCTTTCCATCTCGTTGCCCTCGATGATGATTATAATGGAGTTGGTCTTGCTATTGACTCTGACGATGGTGATGATGGTGGCGGTATTGGTGGTGTTTCTGCATCCATAATTCTAAAATGAAGTTTCTCTTGTAGACAATTCATGTTTGAATATATCACTTGTTCGACTACCCACTTAAGACCCACTCACTCTATGTCTGTTTGGTTCTAATCGCTTACTTGGTTCTAAATTCACAGCGTCCAATACAACGCAAATTCTTGATTTTTTGACCAATTGCCCGAATGTGCGTTGTTATCTTAGGAGGCATTACCTCAACTACACGGCAAAAATTAACATCCACACCGTTATCTTTAACAGTACAGTGCAACATCTACAGCTCCAGCGCCCCAGAATTATCGGCAACGTCTGTTAGTGCATTCACCGCACTAAAAAAGAAGTAAAAAGAAAATATTAAAAGACAAAAAAGAAAAGTATAGAAAGCGATACTGCCAATTGCGGCAGCTTGAATCCACTATCGTATGGGCATTAATGGGAATGTGAACAGGAATATTAAGGATGGGTCCCGTCGTCACCAATATTTATTACATACCTTGGCGCACGAGTGCGAAATTCTGAATAGATTTCTTTTGTGCTAAAGCCTTAGTTATATTTGCCATGTCCATCCGTCGCAAGGGAGCTGTTGCAACGCGCTTGCTAGCTGCTGCGTTTGCACTGCGATAACCACGACAGGTGATGACTGTTGAGAAGAGGATGGCAGAGAGCCATCACGCATTTGCTGCAGTCACCCCAGTCAATTTTTTTCATTCACGGTCCAATGAATGAGAGTGGCTTGTGACACTCTTGACCTAATCCGCTGTACGGTGAGTGGATTCTTCAATTATTGTGCATGACGCATGTAAAATGCACGTGGAAAATGCAAAAGCGTCCGTTTAAATTACATTGACAATGAAAAAAACAATAGGACTGTGGTAGCCGTTTGCCAATGATAGTTTTGGAATCCATGAAAGTTCCACTGCTGCAGTTCAATTTTGCCTGTTTTTTAATTTGTGGATAAACTTCTCCCTCTTGCAACTGCACCGTAGCAATTTCACTGGCGTTGTAGCAGCCTCTGCGTTGTGACTAAATAGGAACGACAGTTATTTGATACCATAATAAAGCAGACATATTGAATATTACAGACGCAGGTAGTCAAATAATTGAGATTATTTGTGTACTACCTCAAGGTGGTCGCCCGTGAATTAGATGTTGATCTACGTTGAGCTGCCAGGTTTGTCGGAAGTCAAACTAATCTCACTCCGCAGCAGTAGACATGCGCGGACAACCACCGAATTTCGGGGTGTGCAGGAATCCAACACCCTCCCTTTTCGTGATTATTGTCTGTTGCTTGTACAGTCCTTACCTCAGTCATTCATTGGTTGCGTTAGCGTCGGTATCAATTTAAGTGCATCAGTAGTCATTACTGACAGAGGATTGAATACTCACTAATATGTACCTGCGACTCAACCGATGGAGTGACTCGATCACACTCTGCTCAGGCCCAGAATCAAGAACAAGCTTATTCTCCGAGGCATACCCATGCGGATTCTAGTATCCAGCTGCTGAATGTATACATCTACGCCGCGTATGTGCATTGAGCCACACACGTTGATCGATGAGTCCATTCATTCAAGCATACAACCACTGAATGATATGATGATTAGCAATTCAATTCATAGCAAATTCAGGTAAAGTGTGTTTGGATTACACTAGATATTCAAGAGAACATTTACAAGCAGTGTCTGCCAATAAGAGGCATGCAAACCACGGCTCACAGCCAGTTGTTCCCTGTGGTCGTGCACACAAGTCTGCTTTAGGTTTTAATGACTTTCGAGAAACAAGGTAGCATGATATAAAAACTAGTTTCTGGGCATCTTGAAAAAAATGGACATATCATATCCTATGCTGCCAAGTATAGCAAGTAATATAAGCTGGTCTCGATCCGATCGAACTGCCAACAAGACGGTGGATGGGTAAAGGCTTCACGGCAGATGGATCAATGTTCTAAGGTACTGGTGTGCGCTTATTGTTCCTAAAGTGGATGGTATGAATAAACGGAGAGTGCTTTTAGGTCCCGCTCCTACCTCTAGACGGAAGTATGTCTTAGGGGGCAATTAGCACACTTCAATTACGGCTACCACAGCCACCACCTAAAGAGGAGGCACTGACTGAGCATGAGCATCGCTACTAGAATGCACTGCGAATAACACCACAAAAGCATCCCTAATATTGAAGAAGGTCACCGTTATGTAATTGCAGAGGTCTCTACTATTGTTCCCTCAAAAGTTGCCGCATCACCTGATATTAGGTGCATTCAGAGCATGCATGAATGCGCAATTTGCATTGTAGGTCAAGAACAGACCACTTCATAGGCTATCATGAGTCCACAACATTTGTATAAGTACAACGTACGTTGATCGTAAATATAACTTGCTTCTGTACCCGAGATATCTCTCCAACTCTGCCTCCTCTTGTTGGCATCGTCCATTATTCGTGGAGAATTGGCAGTGGCACTCGATAAGTTACCTGCTTCCTAATGCTCTACTCTTGTCAGCACATGTGTATAACCACTTAGGTAAATAAATGTTTTTGTTTAATAGGTGAATTTGGCAGGAAGAGCAAAATGCTTCCTAGGATTTACTTAGCTGGAAATTGGGAGCGGTGGCTTAACTGCTTTCTCTCGTGTCTAATCACACTGCATAATATTGGAGTCAACTTGATATGATGATTTATGCGAAATAGTCTTGTCAATACACAATTCTGATGGCGCAGATGGAGTTTCAATGGTTTCGAAATCATGATAAAGACAGCAGATATAGACGCACAAACAACCTGGCATTTAGTGGCCAGGTCGACTGCTGGAGAGTGCAAATATCACTAACAATGCTGCCTATGCAGTTAGACAGAAGCAGAGGAATTGAAAGAGATAAATCCAGGTCTGTTTACCTTCCCACTATAGCTGGTCTGCCTTTATGCAAGCTGTGGCTGCTTCTCGTCCATTCACCTTCGTGCTAGACATTTACGCATCAATCCTCATTCACTTGGCGACATAAAAGATTTTATCACAACTCCAGCAATAATGATATATGTATACTCATTTTTGTGCTGAGAGGGTCGGGTGTTCTCCGAAATGTGACTGTGGATAGCATTGGTCCACAAACTGTGCCTAGGTAAGGGATCGGCTGGCTGAATCTTACGGTTGCGTTACTAGCCAGCTCAACCGATGCATTAAATATGACTGGTGACAGGAATGTTCCCTTCCCTCCCCAATTCTCTTCAATGCCATCACCCAATTGGAGGCAGGACAAAGTGTTTCTACCTCTGTGACTGCACGCAATCACCCGAATTCTCCGATCCAATTTGAGTATTTGATATTCTCCAGTGAACACGCGACACCGGCTGCACCACAGTAGGAAGGAGTTTAGTCCTCCCTCTACTTATTTTATCCAACACTGCTATGAATCGAAATTGACTGGAATACTATGAAATAAGCATAGAACCGCGCCCTTTAGGCACTACTTCACCACCCCATCACCTCCACAAAATCGACTGATCATAATGAAACAGGTGTAGTCGGTAAGGATGTCGCAAATGCTCCATAATGCACACTTAGCAGTTAGGTGGTGTAAATGCATTACCAGAGATCATAAAGGCAATGTCTTGTTTTGGATAGAAGGTGAAGGTGCAACTGTCACGACTAGGGGATCTGCATCGACCTCTGTAATTTCAACGACGAGCAGATCCACGCAGACACTTGTAATTGCCGCGACAAGGATGTTCGCTTTGAATCCAGCCATGTTAACTTCCATGGCATTGGTCTTTGGATGAAATTCCTCGTAAGTCTCTTTAAATTGCTAACCACTTTACCTGCTTTTTTTATTCACGTCCATACTTATCTACCAATTTCCTAGCCACAATGAGTAACTCCTGAATGACTATTGCAAATTTTGTCATTTCACCTAAATTCCATTATACCTTAAATAGCTTCACTCCTCTGAGGAGATTTGGGCAAATCAATCTGACGTATAAGAGGACTGTTAGGGTGGTATGCCGACTGTGATTGCGCACAAGGGGCTCGAAACTGCAGTATATTGCCACAAGGTATAACTTTTGCCAATATAGGGAGAGCGCTCAATAAAGAGACACAAGTTTGCGAAATGCCCACCTGGGCTCATTTACCAAATGCTGCACTTGATTGTTCTT